AAATTTTTTTTAAAAATTCCCACTCCTTTTCCCCCCCCCCCCCCCCCGTCGTAGAAGGCCCTTAGTTTTATGACGAATTAAGTGCCATCTCTACTTTTTGTCTCTCTAGGAACTTCCCGATTCCGATGCCTTCACATTACCCCCACCTGCACCACCTGCACAGTCGATGTCTGCATTCCCTCGAGAATTCTTCTCACAATATCAGCAACCGTGACTTCAGCCGAGCAAAGCATTTCGAAGTTGACGAACTACGAAGTACGCCATCCAAGCGTACATTTCGTGAGAAAGGAATTTCTTTTGCAGCAAATTTGCAGCGAACTGGATCGTGCGGAGTTTACAACGTTTGCCGAGCAGACAGCTCGCAAAATCACCTTCAAGTGATGCGCGATGTCCATTTAGCTGTCTCTCTTGTGCAAAGCTAACAAGAACTTCTTTTTATCGATTCCTTTTTCTTACTAGGAAAGACTGTTATCGTTGAAGGTATTCGGCTCCCTATGAGGGAGCCGCATTGAATTGCGAGCAAAAGCCCCTAGTCGATATTTGAGCTATACCAAAATACCAATTCTGATGAAGTGGAAGGAGGGGAAGGAGGGGGGGGGGGGGGCGCTGGCCTTTGCTCTCTTTGCACAAGCCGCCGAAACGGCCGGCCCTGCCCACATCCCCTCTCTTGAACAGGGAGAGAGAGCGACATCCGCTTTGGAATGAGCCGCGTCGCAAGCGGCGAAGTGCATGGGTGCAGCAAGACGGCTTCGAGGTCGGGACGCAACGAAATCCCTCACCTTCCCCAAATCACCAGAAATGGGATCGTTACCGAGCGGAAATGAGTCTCGTCGACGTTAGTGAGTTCTTTAAGACACGTACACCCGCACGGCCGCCGAACGAACCGGTTCGCGACGTGATGGATGATGAGACACCACAGACGAGTCTTCGTTCCAGACGATTTTCCTCGCGTCCTTCTGGAATTATTGGCTGCAGTTGTTCCTCTAAATCCTCCCAAAATCCTTCTAAATCCACTCTAAACCCTAGAGAAGAGGGCCATACTGCCCTTAAGCCACCCGTCGAAGCCGGTCGAGCTTCACCGACATGACACTCGGGTATAGCTCCGACAGGGAAGACCAGAATAAAATTTGCAGCCGAGAAACCGAAGTGAAAGAATGACCATTTCCATGGAAATTCTTTCCACGATTTCCCCATTCTTTGACGTCAAACGTGAGACCGTTCTCGCGGCTGAAATGGCTTTCGTGTCCACATTCCTCATCACTTTAGGGAATGATTGCACAATTGAAAGAAAAACCGGTGCTGGTCGATATTCATATACCACCTTTCCTTCCGCCATTTTGGGCATCGCAGCCATGGAGATGAAAATGTGCATGAAGCACTCATTCCTCCCGAGTCTCCGAAAGC